GTGTCAAGGTAAAGCCCAATTATCAAGAAAATCAATAGGCTGGATTTGGGCTGGGCTGGCTTACAATTTAATAGCCCAGACGGATTTTCAAGGAGGTTGGATCTTAGGTGGCAGAAGATAAGATTGGATCTAGTAGTTTGAGTTTGATTTAAAGTGGGAAATTGAGGATTTTTAGGTAATTATTTTTAAGGTTGTTGGAGATAAGGTTAAATAGAAATTATCGAATAACTGTCAAACAACTGCCAGACATACAATCCCACTACCAGGTCATGGAGGAACAGTACCGAAAATCATGGAGGAAGTTTCCAGCACCGAAGAAAATAAAAACAGAGAGAAGTGAACAATTCAGGGGCCTGCCCAACACACACACAGACTGCCCAGAGCATGTTTTTCAGCTTTCAGACTGCATTTTCCAGATTTCAGCAATAGTTTCCAGATTTGCCAGATTAGTTCATAGCCTTAGCCTAGGTTTGTTCATCTTTGTTCATATTTTCTTCTGCAAATTCCAATTTAGATTAGTTTTTAAACATTTGGAAGCAACTTAGCCTTCAAAACAGGTCTGCCCTTTTGATTCGATTAGTTCTTCTTCCTTTATGGATTTAGTTATGTTATTTGTTCATATAAATAGGATGAGTATTTTCTGCCTTTGTTCTTTTGTCTCTGCACAATATCCAGACATGTAGTTTGTTTAATTTCAATTTCCAGATTTAAATTTATAAGTTTCTATACTTTAATCATTTCATAGTTTCTTCTTCAGTTTTAGTTATCATTATGGGCTGCATAGTTGTAATCATTGTTTGTTATTTTACTTTTTTTATTGTCTGCGAATTTAATCTTTATGGCATGTTATTTTCTGTTATTTACTTCATGTTAGTTTAATTGCTTCAGGATATTGCATTTATTTTAGGATTTGTAGCTTTTATTACACTTGTTTGGTTGTGAAGTCCTTGGAGGCTTCCAAGGCAATTAGTAACCCATTTTGCAGAACTCCACCCTCTGTTTTGTAACATCGTCTGGGGCGCAATTCATTTCACAGACGTTCTTTCCAGCCATCCTATTGGAGGTCGATTGCTAGAAAGGAGAAGGGTCGTTTGGAAAATCCTGTTTTCTTGTTTTTGGACAAAGCAAGTAGCACGCCTAATATCCAACTCACGTGGTAAAGGCTGGCTGAGGATTTTTGGGGAAACAGCTGTCGAATGTGTTTTTTTTTTTTTTTTTTTGTGATATTATATTTGACAGCCTTTGGTTGTCGATTAAAGGAGCATAATCGACAACAACAGGCTGTCGAATATACTTGACAGCAAAATAAAAAAAAATTGAAAAATCAACAAAATCCAGAATTAATCTTATATTATTTTCTGTTAATTTTATATAAAAACTAGTAAAACGAACACATTTATCAAGTTTCCCAATAATATATTTATGAAACAATTTTAACAATAATATTAAAAGTAATAGATAAACATAAATAAAATTAAATGAGCATTAACCTTAATTATTTTGAAATATATTCGTGTTCCTACCAAAAATAACAGAAAAAATGTATATCAAGTAATAAGAATTCAGAAA